TTCGGGCAGATCACACCATGAGATTTCTCAAGTTTTGCAGGTTCATAAGCAGCAGTTTAAGGATTACGACAGTACCTTAGCGAATTTGGGTAGCCACCTGGATGCGGTTTCCCGTGGAGATAGCGACAAAACCCTGGTTCTTGCAAATGGCCTTTTCTTGGAATCCACTATTGAGGTCAATACATTCTTCAAAAAGGCTTTAGAGAAGCATTTCCATGCCGATACACACATGGTCAACTTCGCGTCAAATTCAGAGGAGGCCCGAAAACAAATTAATGCTTGGGTGTCAGATCACACGTGCAAGAAAATCCCCGATCTTATGCCACGTAACTCGATCGACAGTCAAACGCGCCTGGTTTTGGCCAACGCCATCTACTTTAAAGGTGCTTTAGCTCTTTGTTCACTTATTTCTCTTCTGTTGCTCATAACTATCGTCTAATTTTGGTGATTGGAACATGGTTAATTGAAACCAGGCATAAAGGTGGCAGTTTTCATATTTATAGTTTTATTATTAAGATTAAGGACTTATTATTTAAAAAGGTTAGGATCTTAACATCTTAACAAACCGTCCCCCAATGCTGATCTCTTAATTATTTGCTTCATTTAAACCATGTTTAATGACTGCGGATTTTGTAAATCTTCTTTTTTAGGCACTTGGGAGAAGGTATTTCACCGCGAAGCCACAACGAACTGGCCTTTTCAAACTCTTCATAATGGAGAGGTTCAGGTTCCAATGATGTCCGACAATGGAGTCTATGAGATGTGTAGCTTCGATGAGCTTGGCGCATCGGCACTGAAAATCCCTTTTAAATTGTAGGTCTCTTACTTTGCTTATTTCCTTATGCTGCTCGTTTTATGTGGCTCAAGGCGTGTCGGAAGGGTTGAGTGCGCGGTTTTATGGTACATCATTATTGTTCTCTGCGATAGTCTTCCTCGTTTATTTCCATAGTTTAGGTCAATTGTTTGTTCCTATGGTAATCTCTAACAAACTCATCTGGTAAGCGCACTTATGAAAGTTTGGGTGATGTAAAGCACAAGAGTGGGTACTAATGGATTGCAAGTGAGGCGTTTGACAACAACAGTTAATCCTACGATTAGTGTTATGCAATCTGCCTGAAAATCTAGTACAAGTTGCATCATATGTGACGTGAGTTGGTGTAATGTCGTGTGATGAAGTTGAGATGGTTTTCGCAGAAGGGAAGATATTTTGTTTAGTCATTAGAGTTCGCTTTGTTCTAGTCTACCACAAGTCGTATCACTTTTGTTCGCACATTAGTAGGTCCGTGGCTGTTACCCACGTGTTGACGATGTGTGTTCGCCTTGAACTTTACTGCCCATTTACGACAAGAATTCCTCATAAAGAATATGCAAAGCTAAATGTTTGCCTTAAGTGTCAAATGAGCCATTTTACTTCCAATTTTCAGGCAACACTAGAATAAGCGAATTTAAATGATCTTTTCTTGATTTTGTTATAGCCACGAGATGCTTATTGTGTTGCCCGACGCAAAGGATGGCTTGCCAAAGTTGTTGGAGAA